TTGACAAACAGATGAAGTGTTCATGCCAACTACGATCACTATGTTCAATGACATCAATCGAAATCCAGAGCTGCGTAAACAAATCTCATTCACCAAAAGCATGAAATCAGATGATGTAGAAGACCTACTAAAAAAGACCTTCCCTGTTCTTGCTAATACCGAAAGGTAATATTTTACAAAGTAAAATAACTTGGATAATTGAAACTTGTCTGATGAAAAATTTGACATTTAAATTGATTATAATTTGAAAAACTTTAATCAAATTAAAATTTGAAAGAACTTAGTAAAATATTTTGAAGTGTACTGAATTCTTAATTACAACTTTTGAAGTATTTGTCAAACAGGATCCATCCAAGGGATGTTGTTGAGTCTGTGATTTCACTGATGGATGGTTTTGAGGTCTTGAAGAGTGAAGAATACGATGTTGACAATTTGTGACTTGCTCTCTAGTTACATGTAATTATTTCCTTTGAGTGAATTATTAATTAGAAGCCTTTGTTTACTGTGTGTCTATACATGTATATCTAACTGATGAAACACAGTACATAGCTGTTCAAGATATTTTTGTCCTTACCTGTTTTAATTTTGTTGACTGTGACATTTTCAATGGTACAAAAAATTCTACTGTTTCAAAGACTGGACTGTTAATATAAGGAGACATAAGAAACAAAATCCTCAATTAATTTTGTCTTTTATTTTTGTAAACAACTTCCATATGCAGATTTTATTGTGCAAAAGCAGTTCAGAAAGAAAAACTTGACTTCTGTGGAGAGCGCCGTGTTTGGAGTGGAGAAGTCCTGAACCGGGAGATAAAGGGACACAGTGTGTTGTACATCTACTGTGAGGTTTGTATTGATCAGTAGCACAGTTCTGATGTACAAAGGCGTAACATTGGGGTAAAATTGAAAAATATTTTAATGAATCTATTTTTGTTAGAAATAAGTCAGAAAGGGAAGGAAATTAGTTCCTATCTTGAAATTAGGTCATCTTGATCAATTCGGACGCCTTTCAAGCTAATTTTCTATTACCCATGATGCAATGCGACCACGCCCTTTTTTTAAAAAAATGCATAAATACCATATTTTAAGGAAAGTTTCGGCAAAAAATGTAAATTTGAAGCTACTAAGAGCAAAAACAGTTAAAGGGATGCCAGAATTTGTTCATGTTCATCCAACGGAACTTGATAAATTGGTCTTGCTCTCCTTCGCTTTGACACAAGTGGTCCACAAATGTACCGCACAGTTCCTGGGAATACTCCTGCCACCTTATCATCTAGTTTGTATGTGCGATCAATAATGTTCTCCCTTAAAAAGAAATTTCCAAGAAGAACAGCTTCTCCTTTGGAATAAATGCTTCCACTATAAGGATCCTCAAAGTTTTCTTGAAGGGAAATGACTCCATTGCTAGTAACTTTAAGGAGGTAGTAATCATAGTGGCTATCATCTTCAGCTGCCACAGCCACAGTGCTTTCTTTCGTTGCCAGGTCGGCAACTTGAACTGAATGTTCAATGGTGCTTGCATCTTCAGTTGTCCTGGTCATGACACCTGAGGGCTCTCTTGACAGAACAATCTCCTTCCAGTTGCCCACCCATTCCTTATTTTCACAGCTGTCAAAATCCTCAACAATGCAACCATGGCAGTAACAAGACCTTTCTCTTGTGTAGACTTTTAGCTGTTCACTGCAAGTTCTTACAGAGTGTAGTTGGCGGATGCCTTTGACAGTGCAGAATCTTCCACCGTCCCTGTTACGTGCAACACTCAGCTCCCCAGTAGATGGCAAATAGAAAAAGATGCGCCGCTTTAACTGCACTGACTTCTGCCTAGCAGGAAATGAGGAAGCAGCTGGTTCAGAGAAGTTCTCTTTCAGAAAGTTACAAAGATCTTTTGCATTTGATAGTGTGGCTTTCCTGGAGAGAACTGCTGAGGTTGCCTTCTGTTTGACATGGGAGCCAGCTGCATCTTGTTCTCCCTTTGCATGGGAGGTGGCAAAGTAGTTTCGCTGGACTGTATATCCAAGAGTTGCCAGGGAACATGACAGGTCACCATAGCAGTGTCGGCTCTTGTACTGTCCTGCACATCCATCTGTGAATTCATGCATTTTCTTGATAGTGCAGTTTGATTCTTCTAAATGGTTTGAAATTAACTTCTGGATGTGAAGGACAGAGTCATGATCCTGGGTGACGTCATCGGAAATCACAAACAAATGCTCTTTACAAATTGCTGGTTCCTCTTCTGTGCTCTGGATGCCATCCACCTCAGCACTTGAATGCCTGTAAAGAATTGTGACATGAAGACTTACTTTGTTTACGTCAAAGTATTGGGACTGGATTTCATCTTGAAACCGACAGGCATAACCCTCGGAATAGTCGTGGATGCACACAGCTTGATCAAGAGGAAGGTTTTCAAGAAGAGAATCTAGCTGCTCCCTCTGCCATTTAGCAAGAAAGGAATGGTAAGGAAACTGTCCTAACAGCTGAATAAAATAATCAAACAGTTCCTTTGGTCCTGTGCACTTCTCGACAAGGGCTATTTTCTTCATGTCTTTTCCATCAGTGGTAAGTTTTCCAGTCGACACATAGTCATAACGCTTCCATTTCACTTCGTGATTGCCAACACCTTTCTCCTCTGGCAACAAAACCAAGTTGTGAACTCCACAGTCTTTGCACTCCCTTTTCAAGCATTTCAATTTATGATAGTCTTGATCTTCGGGTTTGGGACAAAGTGTTTGCGCAATAATATTTCCAACTGAGTTATACACTTCTGTAGCTGCTTGATTAGCTTCCCTGCTTTCATCAATCACTCTCTTCCTAAACTTCATGCAGTCTTTGAAGACAATTTGAAGTTCAACGTGCTGACGACACATGCAAGTCTGCCTATCTCGTTCCCTTGCCCCCCTAACAAAATAAGGCTTCAGGTTTTCAAATTTTCGCTGAGATATCTTTATCTCTGGATGCATTGACGCAAACTCTACGTAGGCTTCCGTTTGGGTTTTTTCAAGCACGTGTTTCGGATGTTCAACCCACGTTTTCACTCCAACGCGTTTTCTAATCAAGTCTTTCTTGTTTCCTGTCGGTCTACTTGCTACCATTTTCCAATAATCATAAACAAGCTCTTTGGTTTCTTCAGTGACTGCATCCCGCCTGGTTTTTCGTTTGGTTGCAAGCCAGCTTGACTCTTCACCTTTTAAGATCATTTCGCGTTTTTCAATTCCCGACTTGATGCTTCTTCTATCCAAGGCTATGAGCTTTGAAAGTGTCTTCTGGCTTCTACTCTTTTTAACATTTTGACCAAAAGAAAGTGATTTTGCCGCGACAAGTGCAGCTCTTCCTTTGTTTGACTTGTCATTTTTGACGGCTTTAAGGCCTTGGGTGAGATCGCTAGCAAGCGCTTTCAGTGCATTCACTTCTTTCTCCTCTTCTGGTGTTTTCATTAGTCCGCGTTTCTCGAGTACTTTCCTTGTACGTGGACTTTCTGATATAGCTGCCATTATTTCTGCTTTCTTCTCCGGTGTATCTGGGAGACTCTTCTTAGTTCGTCCAATGGCACGTTTCTTGGCCATCCTGTTTGGGAACGGCGTACCAGTAACGTCGATCGGTGTGGCTTCCGCTTGAACCTGTGCATTTTGGTCTTTCTTTTTTTGACGGTATCGCTTACTTCGTTCTCTAGCCATCTTTCTCTGTTCCTCAAGTTTCCCTTTATTTTTTGAACCTGTCTTTTGCTGGTTTCGTTCGCGCCGACGTTTCTTTGTGGCATCTTTGATAGGAACATTCCGCCGTTGTCCGCTCTTGGCTTCTCGACTTTTCTTTCTGGCTTCCACGACCTTTTCAATAATTTTCTCTCGGTTTTTCTCATAATGTGCTCTTCTTTTCTCTTGTCTTTCCTTCTTCTTTTGTTCTCGCCACATTTGAATCCTAGAAACTCCAGAATCCATAATCTTTGCATTCAATTTCACAGCCTTGTGCTTGCGAACAACACAGCCTTTTGTACTTACGTGTACTTGACTGCGTCCTTGAAACATGCGGCACGTGCTCAGGGGGTTTCCCGCTCATTTCTGACGAAATGCAATATTTTACTTCCTAATAAGGAAATCGAAAACAATGCTTGATTCTGTAGACTTTGGGACGATTTGGAAGCGAAGGAAGCCGTCAAAATGACTAGAGCGTCGCGCTTGTTTTTTCTCGAAATTCGATCACTTACCTTCCTCAGGATCAAACTTGTCGACCAAATGTTTCGAACAAAACTTATTGCTAATATTTTCGTCGGCTTTCAACGGATTCGATCAATTTTGGTAGCAAAATTTAGCTTGTTATTTGAGCATTTTGCGTATGTTAACATTTACACGCTCCAGTGCACTCTTCGTAAACAAGACGATTGGGAAATTCAATGACCAGAATTATCGCGCGGCAGATCACACCGCTTGCCAACTGTTTAGAACGCAGAAAAAAATTCATATCTCGACAACGCTTCAATAAAAACACAAAAAACGGAAGGAGAGCGAAAAGCAACTTATGAGCATTACATTTTGAGGTTAAATTGTTCTGTCACTCGGGAATTATGACTCGCACAATGAATTGAAAATGATCTGTCTCTACCAAGCTTTAAGCGTGATGCATTATATGTTGAACACTTTTGTTGATTTTAACAAAGATTTAGCCCCAATTGTCAGGATTTTGTTTGCCACTTCGCTTAAAAGGGAACCATTTTCATCACCTGTTAAGTTTTACGGCTATAGACGAAACTTACGCTGGCAAAAACAGAAAAACAGTGAATAGTGAAGCCCACGCGAGTTACGCGTGACGCCATGTTTTTGTCGCTAACTTTACAATTCGGCTCCGATTCAATTTTTTCAAAAAACCTTTATTCTACCTCTGTTTAGTCCAAAATCATCTTTAACATATGTGTAACTATTTTGGAAAGTCTCAAGCAGGTCCGATCATTGTGCGCCGAGAAATTCTTAAAAGATTCGAGCAAATCCGTGATTTTTCCATTTGCGCGTGACAAGCGTGCTACTGATCTTAGAAAAATACAACGACTATACTTTCGTCCTTACAAGCCTGTTTTGTAATTGCTGACTCATCAGGGCATTTAAAAAATTCACAATGACTACGGCTTGCACGTTGTGAAGATTTGGTTTGTGCAAATCCCCTCCCCTCTCCCTTTCACCCCCTGGGCAAAACTTTTGTTCAAATCCTCCATGCAAGTGCTTGAATTGATTGTTAATTGTTGTGTAAAGGGCAAGATTAGCAATTGTGACTTCATTGTAGACCTTTCTCAGCAGTCTGCTCACGAAAGTGAACCTTTTCCCCTCAAACAGCTCCATATTAAAAGGTTGATAATATACATGAAAAACTTATGCATGCTAATGGACCGAAAACAAGTGCAAATTTCTAACTTAAGTGCAAAGTTTGAACATGCGGGTAAAATTTAAAATAGAGCACAGTGCTGTCAAAATTTCATCTGGGTTGACTTTGTGTGATGCCTTTTTCATGTGATAACAAGTAACATGATTTATTGTGCAATTTGCTGCGGATAAGAGGTAGTAAATTTTTCAAAGACTGCAAACAGCACTCGCCCTATGAACTCTAGCAGTTGTGTTGCCTTTACAAACTTCAAACATGCCTATTAACACCAAATTGCACTTGCAATCATGTTATTACCCATAGAAAACACATCTAGAATGCTGGAAAGACTGGACAGTTCTTGGTCAATTTCCTCTCCCCACTCAGGCAAGGTTTAAAATCCCCCCTCCCCCCTGGCACAGATGCTAATACAATGCCAGTAGGTTACTCTTATGGTGTTTAGACCTGGATGAAATACGACAATCATAGTATTGTGAGACT